CTCATCCGTCTTAATTTTAATGCTCCATTTAATAAAAAAGATAGAAAGTAAGAAAGATACACTTTCTATCTTCTAAAAAAGAAAAGTAGAAATAATATACTTCTCTTCCTTTGTATTTGGTAGGATGAATGAAAAACAAAAATGATTAATTTTTTATTTTTGTGCTTGGTAAGATGGAAAAAATATTTTTTTAGTTTTAATTTTTATTTTTTTTAAATATAAATAAATATTTTATCATTGTATTTATATATAAAATTAATTTATATATAATTTATATAATAAAGTAACTTACAATTCAAATCTCAAACGATAAACAATATGAATTTTGTTATTCGCAGTTGAGATTACTTTAAATTTTACTTTAAAGTTTATATAACGGCTAATATTAACACCTTAAATTTAATAGCAAAAATAGGCCCCTAAGAATGTGTTTAGAGTAATTTTTTAAAAGTACTTTTAAAAATTATATCTCTTAAATACTTTAAAAAAATAATATTTTTAACCGCCCCTACCACTACCTCTACCACCGCCACTACCACCACAACTACCACCATCGCCTCCGCCACTGCTGCCACCACGACCACAACTATCGTTATTGCCACTACCACCATCACCTTCGTCCCCACTGTCATTGCCGCCGCCACCAATGCCAACCGCCCACTCCAACCACTTCCGCTGCCGCCACGACCACCGACGTCGTCATAGCTACCATCGCCACAGTCACCTCCACCATCGCCGCCACCACCAACATCACCGTCAACGCCACCACCACCGTAGCCGTCACCACCGCCATTGCCACCACCGCTGCCACTATCGCCATTGTCGTTACCACCACCACCACTGGAGTTCACCACCCTCACTACAAATCGATACTTAAATTCTTTTATCTTTTCTCTATATTTGTGATTTGATTTTGGATATGAATACAAATATGTTTATTGTTTACTATTTTTTATTACTCTGTGTCTTCAGACACATGCAATAACTAGTATATGTATATATCAAATGATATATAGACAAATAAAATACATTTCAATACAAATAATTAATTTTTCTTACAATTTTAGAGAAATTGATTCTGGTGAATTGAGAAAAAAATTCATTCATCTACTTTTTCATCCTTCTTATTTTCTTTCTTTACCAAATATGATGTTTTTATCTATCTCTATAATTGTTTATCTTTCTAACTTTTCATCATTTTATTTTTTTATCGTACCAAACAGAACATATAAGTCTTACAAGTCTTCACTAGTAGACATGTGTTACCACATAATGCAAATCATAACTCCTAAAACATGCTCCACATTGTCAAACCACTTGTCTAATTAATTACATACATTTTTCTTTGTTAAAGCCCTTGTCATCAAATCTTTTGCCATTTTTTTTTTTTGGGGAGGAGAGTTCTTTCCGTAGAGTCAGCTAGCAATAAGAAAATTATACGGTACTTGTTTTAAAAGTTATAACTTAACTTTTAAAAATTATAATTTCAATATTGATTGTAATCTCTCAGTATCGATCATATTTTTTAAAAATTATAACTTACATTTTAAAAAATTATTAATTTAATTATAAAAAATTATAATTTTCAATCCGGCTGGCCACGCAGCAGCCTTTCCCCTGGCAATACATTACTGCAAGTCAAATTTGATGTCAGGCGAAAAAGACTTTATAATTCCTCAGGTGTGTGCTTATAAGGAAATCCTTGTGGCATCCATTACCTCCTCATCAAAGGGGGATATGTGGAAAATTTGCCACCTTACCAACCAACTTCAAGATGCCCGATTCATAATTCACCTTTTTTTTTTCCTTTTTGGTTACCAGAATTTTCTTTTGGATAAGATCACATTACAGTCATTTGTATAAAGTAAAGCACAGTATCCGTAATCACCCAAAAATTAAATATATTTCTTTAGCCGAAATATCTTCTAAAGAATTGAACTCAAAAAAATATTTGTGTTATTAACACGTCTCAAAATAACTTCATATCGATGATCTACCCATTCAAGATTCCTAATTCACCTTACATGAACCACTATCTCTATAAAGTTTATTTGTCGCCAAAAGTCTCGAGCAAAATTTTTTTGGATTTTTTTGCGACAACCCTCGTTTTATTGCATTGAATATTTACATTTTTAGTATTGAAGTACTTTTCACCCAAATATCTATCTTTCGCAACACATATTTTTTGTTCTCGAAAAAAACACTTTTGAGTTTGACCACCAATTTCAACATTTTGTTGCAGAAAACATTTTGAAGCGAGCCTAGCGCGACAATTTAGCAACAAAAATATTTCGTCATGAAAAGTCTTTCCTTTTAGCGACGAATAAATTTGCGGCAAAACATCAAATTCATTGTAATGTTGTTGAATAAACTTGGACGTTGTTTGAAAGAAGGTGAGGGTTACCACTAGTGCTTCTTGAACTGACTAACTAAATGGCGGTCTTAGAAGGAAGTGGGCACCCCTTGTGAACCTGCTTCCAAAAGGTTCTCTTTAAACTTTGAATGAAGACATAATGCTTGCTGTTTTTGATTGATTATTATGCTTAAACGGTTTACACAAGCACACAGGTACGTAGATTAAAGTTGCTTCATCTAAACATGTGTGTTAACTGGCCTAGGCTGCTTGAATGGTCAAATTTTTTGGAAATATTATACTTCAACCCCTTAAAAGCCCCCTATCTCACATTATCCCTCAACTATATATACATTATATATCATATATTCACTACCAATTATAGTTATTAGTTTGAGACGTCCAAAGTTTGGAGATTTGTACCACTTGGGTAAAAAGTAGTCATTTTGCTATTAAAACTGCTTGAATTTTTTTTTATTATGAGCTGCCCGAATAGTCCAATGTTATGTTGTTAACATCGCGATTTAAACAGGGACAAATTGTAAACTCAAACGTCATGAATTTGAATCTTGACAATCCCTTAAAGCCAGACTATGATGAATTTATTCTTCATGAATGTCCAAATCTCAGCGTGGATGACCTATTTTTGACCAGATGAGGGAAATAATTAGTCGAGGTACGCATAAGTTGTACCGAACACCCCTGAACATTAAACCAAAAAAGAAAATATTGCAACTTAAACATCTTGAGTTTAACTCTTTTCATGTAACTTCTGTGTTAAACGAGTACATGCAGTAGTTGGCAGGTGATTTTAAGTGTCCAACATTACTCTACAATGTTGTTACTAATTTGTTCCTAACTTGAACAGGTTCTCCCATTATAAAAAATAAATAAATTATAGTATTTCTCAAAATCCATTGGCGTGAGCATTTTATTTTCTAAGCACAAGGAAATTTTGGTGGGATAACGCGAAACTAATAATTTAAGTAGTTAAAAGGATACAATTTGAATAACATGATAACATAAGACTTAAGAGTGAAGTGAGATTAGTAACCGTTGTTTGAAGGATATAGGTTCCCCAAGATTAGTAAGCTGATATTTTAACCGTCATCTTTCATAGAGTAGACCTTAATCATATCCTGCCGTATTAGAAGTCTTATGCACTAGGCTGTCTTTTTCATTTATGTGAAAAATAATTAATTCCATCAAAGTTATACACATGTCCTGGTCACTGAATACTAAGGTTGGTTTAAACTGGTTTCCAAATCTTTGGGGGTCATGAAATTCCACATTCCAAATACTTGAATAAGAATTTAATAGGAAAAATGAAAATAAAAGTAATACATACAACTTGAAGAGGTTGGCATCAACTTCTATTTTAAAGCCTAGCAGATGATCTCCAACAGGTTGTACATGCCTGCATGAACCAACTATATAGTAAATATATTCATAATTCTGTTCCAGTCCACGGGAATAATCATTTATTCCGAAACAAATGAACATTAACATCACGATATTTGCAAAAATGTCAATGTTACGTCATTCTACGTGCCAATTCTTATCGACTGTTCGGATTGCAAAGCATTTTTTTGAATTTTTTTTTTTTTTTTTCCTTCTTCCTTCTGTAATGCATCCTTCATTCACTTTTCACATATTTTGTTTGTAATGCCCTTTGGTTATAATGATCCATATCCTTTCTTTCCTTGGTNTTCCGAAACAAATGAACATTAACATCACGATATTTGCAAAAATGTCAATGTTACGTCATTCTACGTGCCAATTCTTATCGACTGTTCGGATTGCAAAGCATTTTTTTGAATTTTTTTTTCTTTTTTTCCTTCTTCCTTCTGTAATGCATCCTTCATTCACTTTTCATATATTTTGTTTGTAATGCCCTTTGGTTATAATGATCCATATCCTTTCTTTCCTTGCTCTGATTGTGGACCTTGGAGTCACATGGAAGGCTATACGTTGAGAGTGATTAGGCCCATGTTTTTTTATAGGTATGACATTTTCAGATAAAGTTCGAGAATATAATACGATACGATTCGATTGAACAGAGAGTTTTAGACTGAATATATTCGGCTTTACGCNTTGTAATGCCCTTTGGTTATAATGATCCATATCCTTTCTTTCCTTGCTCTGATTGTGGACCTTGGAGTCACATGGAAGGCTATACGTTGAGAGTGATTAGGCCCATGTTTTTTTATAGGTATGACATTTTCAGATAAAGTTCGAGAATATAATACGATACGATTCGATTGAACAGAGGGTTTTAAACTGAATATATTCGGCCTTACGCCTCATAATTTATTCAACCATTGAACTAACCAATAGAGATTTACATTCAATCCCTTATTACAAGTGAAGTGAAATTCAAGTCTTTGCAATAATGCAATTAAATGATTAAATGTTGAACTGGGAAACAAACAGCGGCGAAGAACAAGATTATTATACATTAAATTACTGAAGAGGACAATAGAAATGTGGAGAAAAACCCTAACAATTGAAGCCATGCACACAAGAAGAATAAAGCATGAAACACCACTGACAGCCTTCACTCGTGCTTCATGGTTGCTTCACCTTAACACTGTCGGTAGAGCCACCAGTTGCGCTACCTTCAATTCCAGCCCCGATAACACCACTGATGCCGCCCCCAAAACCGCAACCTCCTCCTCCACCAAACCCTCCACCTACACCACCACCAATCTGTGCCTATTCCTCCCCCAACTCCTTCACCCACACCACCTCCACCACCAACACCTCCTATTCCTCCACCGGTGCCACCACCACCTGGGCTTTTTGTAGAATTTAGTTTGTATGTTGATCCGGACGATCATCCGATCCAAAATAGTGTTGCGTGGTTTTTAATGAAAAATTTTCTGAGACTTAGTCTACGGAGCGAAGGCTTGGGCCAATAGCGCTGATGGACAAGTCATAGCACTTATGGACAAGCCTCGTGGAGGTTCGAGGACATTGGTCCTAAGAAATTTTTTTGGGGCCCATTTTGTAGCCCTGTGGGCAGAACATATAAAAACTATTATTTGGTGATTAGGGTTTTGGATTGATTTTATACGGCCGCCGCCCTCTCTATATTCATTCTTGAGAATAGTGAAATTCCTGCAGTTTCATAGATGTAGGCAAATTGCCGAACTATGTAAATTCTGTGTTGTGTAATTGTTTAGTTTACATTCTTATCGTTCTTTTTATTAATTTCACTTTATTGTTATTGTTTGATTTCACAACACCACCACCTATTCCAACACTAATTTCTCCTCCTGGTCCACCAATGCCGCCTCCAACTCCTCCTCCTACACCACCAATATCACCTCCTGCTCTGCCAATTCCTCCTCTTGGCCCACCAATGTTGCCTCCAATTCCTCCTCCACCTCCACCACCAATGCCACCTCCAACTCCTCCTGCTACACCACCAATATCACCTCCTGCTACACCTCCACCACCAATGCCTCCTCTTGACTCACCAATGCCACCTCCACCACCAATACCTCCTCCTGCTCCACCAATGTCTCCACTTAGTCCACCAATGTCGCCTCCAACTACTCCTCCTACACCACCACCAATACCTCCTCCTGGCCCACAAATGTCATCTCCAACTCCTCCTCCTACACCACCTCCACCACTAATACCTCCTCCTGCTCCACCTCCACCACCAATGCCTCTTCCTGGCCCACGAATGCCTTTTCCAACTCCTCCTCCTACACCACCTTCACCACCAATATGTCTGCCTGCTCCACCTCCACCACCAATGCCTCATCCTGGCCCACCAATGCCACCTCCAACTCCTCCTCCTACTCCACCTCCACCACCAATGCCTCTTCTTGGCCCACCAATGTCACCTCTAACTCCTCCTTCTTTACCACCACCAATACCTCCTCCTGCTCCACCACCAATGCCACTTCTAACTCCTCCTCCTGCACCACCTCCACCACCAATACCTCCTCCTGCTCCACCAATGTCTCCACTTAGTCCACCAATGTCGCCTCCAACTACTCCTCCTACACCACCACCAATACCTCCTCCTGGCCCACAAATGTCATCTCCAACTCCTCCTCCTACACCACCTCCACCACTAATACCTCCTCCTGCTCCACCTCCACCACCAATGCCTCTTCCTGGCCCACGAATGCCTTTTCCAACTCCTCCTCCTACACCACCTTCACCACCAATATGTCTGCCTGCTCCACCTCCACCACCAATGCCTCATCCTGGCCCACCAATGCCACCTCCAACTCCTCCTCCTACTCCACCTCCACCACCAATGCCTCTTCTTGGCCCACCAATGTCACCTCTAACTCCTCCTTCTTTACCACCACCAATACCTCCTCCTGCTCCACCACCAATGCCACTTCTAACTCCTCCTCCTGCACCACCTCCACCACCAATACCTCCTCCTGCTCCACCAATGTCTCCACTTAGTCCACCAATGTCGCCTCCAACTACTCCTCCTACACCACCACCAATACCTCCTCCTGGCCCACAAATGCCATCTCCAACTCCTCCTCCTACACCACCTCCACCACTAATACCTCCTCCAGCTCCACCTCCACCACCAATGCCTCTTCCTGACCCACGAATGCCTTTTCCAACTCCTCCTCCTACACCACCTTCACCACCAATATGTCTGCCTGCTCCACCTCCACCACCAATGCCTCATCCTGGCCCACCAATGCCACCTCCAACTCCTCCTCCTACTCCACCTCCACCACCAATGCCTCTTCTTGGCCCACCAATGTCACCTCTAACTCCTCCTTCTTTACCACCACCAATACCTCCTCCTGCTCCACCACCAATGCCACTTCTAACTCCTCCTCCTGCACCACCTCCACCACCAATACTTCTCCTACTCCACCTCCACCACCAATGCCTCCTCCTGGCCCACTAATGCCAACTCCAACTCCAACTCCTCCTTTTGCACCACCACCAATACCTCCTCTTGCCTTATCTCTGCCACCAATGCCTCCTCCTGGCCCACCAATGCCACCTCCAACACCTCCTCCTACACCACCTCCACCACCAACACCTCCTCCTGCTCCAACTCCACCACCAATGACTCCTCAGGTCTAAACTGTGTGTTTTACTGCCCCTCAGTTTGCGGGGGGTTGTAAGAGAAATTGCATAATTCTTTGCCATATCCTCTGTCAGATTTCATGTTGATTCTCTGGATCCTTCAGACAATACTTGACTAATTTAGAATTCCTTTGTATGGCAATTTAGGATGCCTTAATTGGACATAACTAGTAGATTTGCAAAACTTTTTTACAACTAGTTTTATGTACTTAAATGCACTAAATCTCTCTATATAATGAAATTAATCAAAGGGCTCGATATGATTTTGTACCGTCTGTTATCTTATAGATTCGAGCTCTCTTGCCATTTTTTAATGCCCTGATTTAGTATTGAAATATGTCTTCTACCTTGAGTTAGGTTTGTACGACTTTAAAATTTATATAAAATAAAGGTCTAAAATTTATAATTATAAGTCACTTCAACTCATCTGTCTTTAATGTTAATGCTTTGTTTAGTAGGAAAGATGAAAAGTAAGAGAGATAAAAAAATATGAGGAATACATTTTTTATCTTCCAAAGAAGGAAAATAGGAATGATATAATTTTTTTCCTTTGTGTCTAGTAGGATAGATAAAAAATAAAAATGATTAATTTTTTTTTTTTTTGGTGCTTGGTAAGATGGAAAAAATATTTTTTTAATTTTTATTTTTTTAAAAAAAATATAAAAAAATATTTTATTATTATATTTATATATAAAATTAATGTATACATAATATATGTATACATCAAATGATATATAAACAAATAAAATATATTGTAATACAAATAATTAATTTTTCATCCAATTTTCTTCTAATTTTAGAGAATTAATTTTTCTGAGTTGAAAAAAAAACTTATTCATCCATTTTTCCATTCTTTTTTTTTTCCTTAAATATGACGTTTTATTTATTTATTTATTTATTNTGTATACATCAAATGATATATAAACAAATAAAATATATTGTAATACAAATAATTAATTTTTCATCCAATTTTCTTCTAATTTTAGAGAATTAATTTTTCTGAGTTGAAAAAAAAACTTATTCATCCATTTTTTCATTCTTTTTTTTTCCTTAAATATGACGTTTTATTTATTTTTTTATTTTTTATTTTTTTTTCATCCTATTAAATGAAACATAGTTCTTACAAGTCTTCACTACTAGACATGTGTTACCACACAATGCAAATCATATCTCCTAAAACATGCTCCTCAAAGTCAAACCACTTGTCTAATTACAGGCATTTTTCTTTGTTAAGCTCTTGTAATCAAATGTTTCGCCTTTTTTTTTTTTGTTTTTTTTGTTTTTGGGGGGGGCGTTTGTCTTTTCGGTACAATCAACTAGCAATAAGGAAATTATACGGTATTGAAAAAATAATAATTTAGTATTGTATAGTCTATTACAATTCTATCATCAATCATGAGTTTTTCTGAAAAATTTGTAATTTTTCTCTTATGAGTTATAAGTTAATCTTTAAAAGTTATAACCTAAATTTTAAAAACTATAATTTCGATATCGATTGTAACTTCTCATAATTGATCATACTCTTTAAGAATTAATTTATACCTCAAAAAAATTTTAATTTAATCTTAAAAAATTATAATTTTCAATACCGCTGGTTAGTATTATCAAAACCAGACTGGACCGGCCGATCAGACCGATTCACCCGTGACCCAGGGCTTTAATCGGTCTGGTTCCCTAATTGGACCGTATAAGGAAGAGAACCGGCTAAAAACCGAAAAATTGACCGATTTTTATAAAAAATTGTGAATCGGCAATTTTTTAAAATCGGACAATTCAAAGACAAATGAAAAATTAAATGACTTAAATTACAGTTCTTTTTATTTGGGCCATTCTTTTGCCATAAATCGTAGAAGACACCANATTGACCGATTTTTATAAAAAATTGTGAATCGGCAATTTTTTAAAATCGGACAATTCAAAGACAAATGAAAAATTAAATGACTTAAATTACAATTCTTTTTATTTGGGACTCCACTCCCAGGCGACCAACGAGCAACAACCACCGATCAGCAACCACCGATCAGGAACCAGCGACCAATGACCAGATCTTTGCTGTCATCTCCTCCTTTTTCCTGCTTCTATCAGATCAGACTGTAACATTAAGGTAAAAACTTCCAACAGCTAATATATGCATCCTGGGCTAGATCAAATACCCTCTCCTGCAATCTCAATTATATCAAAAGCAATTTGGTTGTGTAACTAGAGAGAATGTGTGTCATGCTCTTATTTTTTAATCAGTAGTTGCAAATTATATAAATCAAAATCAACTATTAGAAATGAATTTCGGTATAACACTAAGTGGGTATCGTAATTTTATCCTTATAAAGATGCACAGACAAGAACAATTCAAGCTCACATATCACTATATTGTGAATTTTTCTATTATGTAATTGGATTAGGGTTTTAAAGTTCAACTTTGATATTTGACATCGGTGTTTCTTTTACATAAATTCATTAATTTTATGAAAAATTGTATGCAGTTTAGACATATTTTATATTTTGTAGCTAAATTATGATGTTTTATAATTATTATATATATATTTTTATTTTTTTTATTATATGACCAATTTGACCAATTGACTCACCGATTAACCAGTGAATCATTGACTCAATTTCTTAACTGATTTGATGACCGATCCAGTTCTAACAAAGTTACCTCTGGCCACACAGTAGCCTTTCCCCTAGCAATATATTACTGCAAGTCAAATTTGATGTCAGGTGAAAAAGACTATATAATTCCTCAGGTGTGTTGGCATGCATTACCTCCTCATCAAATAGGGATATATGGAAGATTTACCAACCAACTGCAAGATGCTCAATTCATAATTCACCTTTTTTTTCCTTTTTGGTTACGAAAATTTTCTTATGGATAAGATCACATTACAGTCATTTGTATAAAGTGAAGTACAGTACCTGTAATCACCCAAAAGTTAAATATATTTATTTAGCCGAAAAATCTTTTGAAGAATCAAACACAAAAAAACATTTGTGTGTTATTGACACGTCTCAGAATAACTTCATATCGGTGATCTACCCATTCACGGCTCTTAATTCACCTTACGTGAACCTCTATCTCTACGAAGTTTATTTATTGCCAAAAGTCTCGAGCAAAATTTTTTTGGGTTTTTTTGCAACAACTCTCGCTTTATTGTAATGAATATTTTACATGTCTAGCGATGAATTACTTGTCGTCCAAAGGTCTATCTTTCGCAACAAATACTTTTGTTGCCCAAAAGAAATACTTTTGGCGAAGAATTCAACATTTCATTGCATAAAACATTTTGAGACAAGCCTAGCGCGACAACCCAGCAACAAAAATATTTCGTCGCGAAAAGTCTTTTTTTTTTAGTCACCAATAACCACTAGTGCTTCTTGAACTGACTAACTAAATGGCGGTCTTAGAAGGGAGTGGGCACCCCTTGTGAACCTGCTTCCAAAAGGTTCTCTTTAAACTTTGAATGAAGACGTAATGCTTGCTGTTTTTGATTGATGATTATGCTTAAACGGTTTACACAAGCACACAGGTACGTAGATTANAAAGGTTCTCTTTAAACTTTGAATGAAGACGTAATGCTTGCTGTTTTTGATTGATGATTATGCTTAAACGGTTTACACAAAAAGTTGCTCCATTTAAACATGTGTGTTAACTGGCCTAGGCTGCTTGAATGGTCAATTTTTTTGGAAATATTGTACTTCGACCCCTTAAAAGCCCCCTATCTCACATTATCCCTCAACTATATATACATCATATATCTTACATTCCCTTCCAATTATAGTTATTAGTTTGAGAAGTCCAAATTTTGGAGATTTGTATCACTTGGGTAAAAAGTAGTCATTTTGCTCCAAAAACTATTTGAATTTATTTTATTATAAGTTACCCGAATAGTCCATTGTTATGTTGTAAACATCGCGATTTGAACATGAACGAACTATAAACTCAAACGTCATAAGTTTGAATCTTGATAATCTCTTAGGGTCAGACCATGAGAGATTTATTTTTTATGAATACCCAAATCTCTGCGTGAATGACCTATCTTTGACCAAACGAGGAAATGAATTAATCGAGGTGTGCGTAAACTGTCTCAGACACCCCTAAAGACCTGAACATTGAACCAAAAAAAAAACATCGCAACTTAAACATTTTGAGTTAGATTCTTTTCATCTAACTTCTGTGTTAAACCGGTACATGCAGTTGGCGCGGGTGATTGTAGGTGTCCAACATTTACTCTACAGTGTTGTTACTAATTTGTTCCCAACTTGAAGAGGTTCTCCCATTATAAAAAAAAAAAATTATAGCATGCCTCAAAATCCATTGAATTGAGCATTTTATGTTCTAACCACAAGAAAATTTTGGTGTTCGGATAACGTGAAACCAATTTAAGTAATTAGAAGGATACAATTTGAATAACATGATAACATAAGACTTAAGAGTAAATTGAGATTAGTAATCATTGCTTAAAGGTTACAGTTTACCCAAGATTAGTAACCATTGTTTGAAGACATTGGCATCAGCTTCTATTTTAAAGCCTAGCAGATGATCTCCAACTGGCTGTACATGCCTGCATGAACAACTATAAAGAAAATATATTCATAATTCTCTTCCAGTCCACGGGAATAATCATTTATTCCGAAACAAACGAACAGCGACAAAGAACAAGATTATTATACATTAAATTACTGACAAACACATTAGAAATGTGGAGAGAAACCCTAACAATTGAAGCCATGCACACAAGAAGAATAAAGCATGAAACACCACTGACAGCCTTCACTCGTGCTTCATGGTTGCTTCACCTTAACACTGTCGGTAGAGCCACCAGTTGTGCTTCCTTCAATTCCAGCCCCGGTAACACCACTGATGCCGGCCCCACCACCACCGCCAAAACCTCCTCCTCCCCCACCACCACCCAAATCTCCTCCGACTCCTCCACCAACACCAGCTCCGCCACCAATCCCTCCCCCAAATCCACCGCCACCAATACCTCCTATCCGTACGCTAGCTCCTCCACCAATCCCTCCGCCAAACCCTCCCCCAACTCCTCCACCCACACCACCTCCATCACCAATACCTCCTATTCCTCCACCGGTTCCACCACCACCACCTATTCCAACACCAATTTCTCCTCCTGGTCCACCAATGCCGCCTCCAACTCCTCCTCCTGCACCACCACCAATTCCTCCTCCTGGCCCACCAATGCTGCCTCCAATTCCTCCTCCTGCACCACCACCAATGTTGCCTCCAACTCCTCCTCCTGCACCACCACCAATGCTGCCTCCAACTCCTCCTCCTACACCACCACCACCAATACTACCTCCTGCTCCACCTCCACCACCAATGCCTCCTCCTGGTCCACCAATGCCGCCTCCAACTCCTCCTCCTGCACCACCTCCACCACCAATACCTCCTCCTGCTCCACCTCCACCTCCACCACCAATGCCTCCTCCTGGACCACCAATGCCACCTCCAACTCCTCCTCCTGCACCACCTCCACCACCAATACCTCTTCCTGCTCCACCTCCACCACCAATGCCTCCACCTGGCCCACCAATGCCGCCTCCAACTCCTCCTCCTGCACCACCTCCACCACCAATACCTCCTCCTGCTCCACCTCCACCACCAATGCCTCCTCCTGGACCACCAATGCCCCCTCCAACTCCTCCTCCTGCACCACCTCTACCACCATTACCTCTTCCTGCTCCACCTCCACCACCAATGCCTCCTCCTGGCCCACCAATGCCACCTCCAACTCCTCCTCCTGCACCACCTCTACCACCATTACCTCTTCCTGCTCCACCTCCACCACCAATGCCTCCTCCTGGCCCACCAATGCCACCTCCAACTCCTCCTCCTGCACCACCTCTACCACCATTACCTCCTCCTGCTCCACCTCCACCACCAATGCCTCCTCCTGGCCCACCAATGCCACCTCCAACTCCTCCTCCTGCACCACCTCTACCACCATTACCTCTTCCTGCTCTACCTCCACCACCAATGCCTCCTCTTGGCCCACCAATGCCACCTCCAACTCCTCCTCCTGCACCACCTCCACCACCATTACCTCCTCCTGCTCCACCTCCACCACCAATGCCTCCTCCTGGCCCACCAATGCCACCTCCAACTCCTCCTCCTGCACCACCTCTACCACCATTACCTCTTCCTGCTCCACCTCCACCACCAATGCCTCCTCTTGGCCCACCAATGCCTCCTCTTGGCCCACCAATGCCACCTCCAACTCCTCCTCTTGCACCACCTCCACCACCATTACCAATTCCTCCTCCTACTCCACCTCCAGGTCCTCTACCACCAATTCCTCCTCCACCACCTCCATGTCCACCACCAATTCCCTTACCAATCCCACCTTTACCTCCACCACTAGTTCCCTTACCAATCCCACCTTTACCTCCACCACCAACTCCTTTTCCAACCCCACCTCCACCACCAGCTCCAATCCCTCCACCACCACTAGTTCCACCTCCGGGATGATGATAATGATGTTTTTTTTTCTCCTTGCGGTGCTTGCCATGACCTCCACCTCCACCACCTTTTCCTACACAATCAGGTTTTCCAATGTCACTAGCTTTTCCATCATGGAAACTAGAACCCACCCCTTTACCAAAACTAAAAGAATGCCCAAAACTCAACCCTTTCCACCCACCACCACCCCCAAAACCCCCACCTCCACCAATGTCACCACCATCACCGCCTCCTTCTCCTCCTCCACCACCGCCAATCCAGCCTGGGTTTCCATCAAAAAACCATTCTGGCTTCTTCACTACCCCACCAATTTCCTCCAACTCCCTACTCTCACCCCAGCCCGCAACCAAGAAAGAAAAGAACACCATCAAAAGTCCCTTCCCTGCCATTGTAGTCATCATCACTGCACTCACTGCCCGCCTATCTTCATGGTCCTGGCTTTTTATAGGGAAGGGCATGCACTTACGTTACCCAATACTGATGAAATTAAATTCAGTTCTCAACTGATTTTGCTTTTTGGATTCCCTTTTCTGCTTTCGGTATAATGGCATAGAAACAAAAGAACGTAAAATATTGTTGGAGGGTCTTTCTTTCATCGCTTCGCCGCTTGCTTTACAACAGTCGTCCAGCTCGATTACCCAGGCATATACGTGATTGCTTCATGTTAGCATTCATGTCCACCGTGATGCATGTCCTCTCTCTCTCTCTCTCTCTCACACACACACACACACAGTCACACAGGCTTACCGATGGCCATTGCCAACTGGTACTGATCNTCTCTCTCTCTCTCTCTCTCTCACACACACACACACAGTCACACAGGCTTACCGATGGCCATTGCCAACTGGTACTGTGCCACTTTCCAGGCAAGAATTGCCATGGCAAGACAAAAAGGAAGTTAGAATTCGATGGGAGGCGGCAGTTGAAGTTAACAAGGCTCACGGACTATATTTATTCATGGGATGAATATTCGTTACTTGAAATTCTCTTTCTCTCTCTCTCCCCCTCTCTCTCTGGACGTGTTTAGAAGCGGCAGAGAACGTCCAAGTTTAAAACAATTAATAGCATTACCATAGTCAAATGGCCGTTTTAGAACTTATTTGAGCCTTCTTCTCATTTATTCCTCATTAATGACACCCTGAAAGTTCTCAATTTGATAGCGAAAATACAACTCTAAATAGTAATAGTATTATCTAAATCTACAATAAGAAAATATATTCTCTCTGATTTTGACAATAGAACTCTATAGAGTATCTTCAATATGAGGACTATGAGTAAGGGTCTCAATTTTACCCACTAAAATGAAATGGATACGAACCCAAAAATAATAGGACTGATAAATAAGAATAATAAATAAATTAAATTAAGGTTAAACACAAATAATATTATTAATTAGTATTATTGTAAGCAAAAAATAAGTATTTTAATTTTTTTTCAAAATATCATGTGTTATTTTAACTTAAAAAAAATATTGGCACAATTACTAACACGTATACACGATCCAAAATGACACAATATGACACGACAAAAATTGACAGACATTCCTATATTTGAGTAAGAAATACTATATGGACTTAATTTAAGAACTTAATCAATTTCTACATTCGAATTGTCTTTATCTAACTTTTAAACTCACAACTAATCTAACTATAATGAATTAAGTATTTATAACGTCACTCTTTTCGAGTTTTGTGTATGAAATTGGAAAAGCTGGACTACTTCTGAATTAATATTATGGCTCAATTCACACGCTAACCCAGACATATTTGCCCATTTGTTTGTGGAACAAAATCTGCATAATGTCCAACAAAGGTAAAGGGCATTAGCTCAGCGTAAACGAAAAGTATCAACAGAAAAATGATTTTAACCCAATAATTTTGACCTAATATCCTGATTTATGTGTGACATTATCCAATAATGCAATTGTACCTTTAATTATTGAACTTTTCATATGAACTAACATCTCACTAAGTCTAGGCCGGACAATTCTAGACATGGCTCACAAATCTAATACAAAATTGACACAGAATTAACGGTTAGGGTTTAGCCTTAGCAAGCTTGAGTGATAAACGGATGCACGCATTATACTTGATAAATGAATTGTCAATTTGACCTCGTTAGATATAATAGGAACCAGTTAAACATGATTTGTATACAACACAAACTTGACAAAATACGATTTTAGCTAAATATGTTTATGAATGAGTCATGTATTTATTGAACAAAGTTTTACACGGAGACTTAGATACGACACAAATCCCCACACAATACCACCACTAGAAGCCCTAATTATGTCAATGTATCTGGTGATATTACTGCTTTTAATTAAAATTTCCGTTAATTTGTCAGAAATTTGAAGAGAAAAAACTTGAGCACAACCACCCCAATCCTTCAAGTTCAACTTCGTTCATGTTAACTGGTTCAAGTTGGAGGTAAGGGGTGGCCATGAGCCAACAACCCATCCGGCCCAAGATGGTAGAATCTAAAAAATGGGTTTTTTTTTTATGTATTGAACTTTTAAGTCAAGGTTTTTTTTTTTTTTTGGGGGGGTCATAAGGTTCAAGCACTTTTTTTTAGAGTTTTTTGAAAGGAGATTTGGAAGTAGGTACAAAAATTTAGACTTAATTGAGCTAAATTACAATAAGAAAATTTATTTAGTACTAAGTGCATTTTTTTTTAAAAAGACTAAAAGACCAGTNGAATAAGTCATAAGGTTCAAGCACTTTTTTTTAGAGTTTTTTGAAAGGAGATTTGAAAGTAGGTACAAAAATTTAGACTTAATTGAGCTAAATTACATTAAGAAAATTTATTTAGTACTAAGTGCATTTTTTTTTTAAAAAGACTAAAAGACCATTTATTAGTCCATTAGGACATCTCCAACCATGACTTAAATTTAGACTTAAATTTGAATAAAAAACTTGATTTGATATAGAATACTCAAATTGGCAAACTCAAATATTTTAAAAAATTCTCTTATTGTCCCAAAATTTATTTTTTTTTGTCATTCAAATCATGATATTTGATAAAATAAATGAAACTTTTATATCTCTCCACGAATGGATAATTTTAAAAAAAATGAATAAGTATATGACACAACATGGAAATAAGGAAACCACAACAAAATTCTATGATTGTTCTAATCTCTTATTATTTTTTATAAATTCAGATAAAAAAAAGAAAAAAAATATAACTATTTTGATGTGGGTCTAGTTTGAAGAACACAAAAAATATATATTTTTAACAAAAATTGAAGATTGAATAAATAAAATTACATATTTTTTAAATTTGTGGGTAGCATAAGTTTAAAATTTAAGAAAGAATTTAGTGGCCTTAATTTGTACTACCAATAGTGTTTAACTTGAAAAAATTAAAGAAAAATTTGATGGGAGAACTTAAGGTTTATATAATATGAAAAATGAGTGAGATTAAGGTTTGAACAAATACAGTAATTCAAGAAAATAGAAGATGAAAAGAANGAAGAACACAAAAAATATATATTTTTAACAAAAATTGAAGATTGAATAAATAAAATGACATATTTTTTAAATTTGTGGGTAGCATAAGTTTAAAATTTAAGAAAGAATTTAGTAGCCTTAATTTGTACTACCGATAGTGTTTAACTTGAAAAAATTAAAGAAAAATTTGATGGGTGAACTTAAGGTTTATATAATATGAAAGATGAGTGAGATTAAGGTTTGAACAAATACAGTAATTCAAGAAAATAGAAGATGAAAAGAAAAAAAAACTTACTTACAGGCCTTCAAATGAATTGTGAAAGATTCGGTCGTGGTTGGAAACAGCGTAGTAGAGAGAAAGAAGAGGCAAAGGATAAGTAGTAGAAGAAATCTTTTAGTTTTTGATAGGTTAAAAAATTATCGTTAAAAATTTGGTATAACATGAATTTATTTCAATTTGGGTACAGAATAAGTTTTGTCTTGATTTGATATAGTTTTGATTCCAAGGTTAGAGAAATTTTTTGGGTCATTTAAATTTGAGTCAAGGTTGGAAATGCTCTCACTCTCTCTCCCTTATTTTCTCTCTCTCTCTCTCTCTCTATATATATATATCTTTCTCTCATTGATAATTTATTTTTTTTCAAAGATATAAAGATTTGATTTAATTTTTTCATCTCTCCTCTATTTTTTCTTTNTATATATATATCTTTCTCTCATTGATAATTTATTTTTTTTCAAAGATATAAAGATTCGATTTAATTTTTTCATCTCTCCTCTATTTTTTCTTTCTCTCTCTCTCCCCTATTTTCTTTCACCATTACTCTTTCTCTCCATATTCACTCTCCCTCTTTCCTTATATCAAGGTTATAACAACACAATTACATCAATTAGTTACAATTACCTTATAATATATCAAACAATTACTCACGTATTCTAATAAACAAAATAGTTACACTAAATAATTACAAGAAATTGGTGTATACAATTGGTGTAATCATGTGTGATACTAAATGGTGCAATTTTTTGGTTTATGTAAACAATTGATTGACAAATTGAGTTGATGTTATAATTTTGTATAATTATTTAGTGTAATTGTTAGATTTATTAGAACACGTGAGAAACTTTTTGGTGTANACAAGAAATTGGTGTATACAATTGGTGTAATCATGTGTGATACTAAATGGTGCAATATTTTGGTTTATGTAAACAATTGATTGACAAATTGAGTTAGTGTTATAATTTTGTATAATTATTTGGTGTAATTGTTAGATTTATTAGAACACGTGAGAAACTTTTTGGTGTATTAAAGGGCAATTGTAACTAATTGGTATAACTGATTAATGTAATTGTGTTATTATAACATTGATATGAAGAGAGAGAGAAAAATAAGAAGAGAGAGAGTAACAGTGAGAGAAAATAGAGGAGAGATAGAGAGAAAAAAATAGGGGAGAGATTAAAAAATCAAATCAAATATTTACATATTTGAAAAGAAAATAAATTATCAATGGGAAATAGAGAGAAAATAGGGAAGAGATTAAAAAATAANATGTAATTGTGTTATTATAACATTGATATGAAGAGAGAGAGAAAAATAAGAAGAGAAAGAGTAACAGTGAGAGAAAATAGAGGAGAGATAGAGAGAAAAAAATAGGGGAGACATTAAAAAATCAAATCAAATATTTATATATTTGAAAAGAAAATAAATTATCAATGAAAAATAGAGAGAAAATAGGGAAGAGATTAAAAAATCAAATCAAATCTTTACATATTTGAAAAGAAAATAAATTATTAATAAGAGATAGAGATAAAATAGGAGAGAGTAACAGAGAGAGATGGAGAGAAAATTGAGCAGAGATAGTGAGAGAGTAATGGAGATAGAGGGAGGGAGAGAGATGGAAATAATAAAAATTATGTATAATTTAAGAAAGGGTAAGTAAATAAATTCAAATGTTATTTGAATTTTATACCTAATCATAAAATATTTTATTAAAATTGAACTTAATAGAGTAAAATAATTATTTATACACTTCTTTTCAAGTAAGTTTAAAAAAATTTACCCACACCAAAAAAACTTTTTTTTGAAAGTCGATTGCTAAATCCAATAGAATTCTAAAATAAACTCATTCACCAATTTTTTTTTTAAATTAGGTCCCCGTTGAAAAGTCAAAGTAATGGACATAACTAATGCCCA